AGCACTCACTCTTGGCAAGCAAGGGATGTGTTCATCTGCCTCCAGGGGAAAACTAGACAGGGTGGACAAGCATGGCGGATACACAGTGGCAGCTAGGACGGACATCTTTTCCCTTTCCTGACAGAAGGGCGCGAATGCTCTTGCGCTCTTGATCATTTACTACAGAAGCATGGTTTGTCTGCTTCCCCAGATGCCACGTGGACCTGGCACACTGGCAAGCCGGGGCTCCCTGCCTACCCAACCCACCTGCTCCACACCGAGATTCTGTTTTCATGCTTTACTCATATTATCTGGCCATGTTTCTTTCGCTTTTTCTTTTTTCCTAGTCCTTAATTTTAGGCCTCTTCAACTACATGTTGAAAGCACACAAGGGTGTATTTTTCTTTTATGCCACTGTTTCTTCCAACCACCAGTGCACTCTTCAGCATTTGCATGGCTAGAGGGAAGGTAGGGAGGAGTATAAAGAAGGGAGGAGGTAGGAGAGGAAGAGAGAATGGGAGTCACAGCGGGGAATAAACATGAAAGGGAAAATAAAGTCAACAAAAACCCAGGCCTAACTCCAGCCATAAAGTCTTTGCACCATTTTGATAACACAATTGGGGCTTTTTCTTTCTCTCAAAGTCTCAGTCTTTCTCCCAAAGAGTAGGAAGTGAAGGAGGACAAGATGGGAAGGGCCAGAAGTCCCCTGCGGGACCCCCCCCCCCCCGAGGCTGTTTAGACTAGGCAGTGCGGTGCCTGGCTGCAGAAAACTTCAGGGATGGAGAAGATAGATCTTGCCTGCAGGTGGCTGCTGCCTCTCCCACTCACTGCTTTTGGATCAACACCACTTTCTTCAGGCCAACACACACACACACACACACACACACACACACACACACACACACACCCCTCCTCTCATCATCAGTATTAATAATATTAATGCAACAATAGAGACGGAGAAAGGCTAGCTAACAAGATGCACTGAGTGGAAATGTTGGCTGGGAGTTCTCAAAGTTCTCTGCTGAGGGATACAAAGGCCCCAGGGCCTCACGGGGTCCCTCTGTTTCCTACAGGGACCTCTTTTCCCCAGTGTCCCTTCCCAACCCGGATTTTGTTGATTTGCCAGACCCAGTTGGTGGCGACCTGAATGGCCATCTTATTTGCTTTCAGGATAGAGGTCATTGTTAGTAATTGTATCTCTGTGGAAGAGGGTTCTGGCTGCCTGCCAGCCCAATCCTGCCTTCCTCTGCCCTGCCCTGGGTATTGTCACCATCAGCACAAATGCTCCCTGTTCTTGGTGAGGCCAGAGATGGGGAAATAGTGGAGTGTCATTCACTCATCCGGGGCTGCCAGCCCCTCCACCCGAGGCTCTCACAGACTCGTTCCTCAGACCCTGTCCCTATGACACCCCTCACAGCTTCACCAACACTGAGGATCACTTTTGATCAGTCAGTAGGCATAGCCAGGCCTCACTCAGAATCCAGAGGTGTCTTTCTAAGAGACCCCATTCCTAGCTCCTGGTTTTTCTCCTCACAGGTCGGGGTGATCGGTCTCTTCTGAGAGACAGGTTTGATGCAGAAATGACAAGGCAGGAGCCTACCTCCCCATCTCATAGCTTCCTGAAGATGTTTCATTTGGGCCTCTCTTCTACTGCCCAGTTTGAACAGTCCTGCAGCCAAGCCTTCCCAGCAACAACTGCTGTGATACTCAAAAGACCCCTTCCATTTATCTTCCCATACTCCCCTCTCTTGCTTCCCTCTCACCTACTCCTCGAAGCAAATTTCCCGGGCCCCCTACCCTACTGTCCCTCCAAACACCTGAGGGTTGGAAAATATTCCCAGCTCTCAAAGAGCCTGAACTAGTTCATCTGTCCTGCTGCTCCCACACTCAAGGTTACTGCGGGCTTTGGAAGAGGCTCACAAGGAGCTCAAGTCCGGAGACTGCTGGAGAATGACAAAGGAGCCCAACTCACCGTCTCAAAGGCCCCTCTGACTACTGATAAATTAGATTTGGTGCAGTCAGGGTTATAGTGGGGAGACTCGTGGACTTGGTGCAAATAAAAAACCATGAGGTCCTCTCCCTTCCCCCATCTGGAAACACAGATAGAGCTGAGCTCTTGGAAAGATCCAGAAGGGCAGCAGACGGTGAGGGACCTGCCTGTTTTGCCTGGTAGTAGGGAGGAGGCTGGTCAGGCCCTCCTGCCTCACTTTCCAGCTGCTGGAGACAGGACCTGTGGGCCTAAGCCCTGAAGCTGCAGTGCCAGAAACTACTCCCATGCCCAAGGCTGAAGGCCAGGATCAAGCCCACCCTGTTACCCTTTGTCCCCTGACCCTAACCAGCGTAGACCAGAGGAGTCTCGGTAGCTTATGTCCAAATGTTGCAAGGACACTCCTCTTCAGGGGTGGGAAAATCCATGGAGACTCAGGCAGGAGCCTGGGGGTCCTTCCTACTTCCACTGGATGAGGTGCAGCAATCCCTCTCTCCTTGCCCTCAGATAGGCCTCCTCAATGAGCATGACCCCAGGGGCCTCAGGGAAAGGAGAGCTGGTTCAGCATCCACTGCTAGGCAAAGGTTTGGCTTTTGTTTCAAACCATTTGTTTTTCAGGACCATAAGACCGAGACAGAAAAGCTTGTCATTCCCCTGGCCCTCTGCTTACAGCTCCCAATAGCCCCCTCTGGTACACTCAAGGCTTCCCCCCCCCCCTTTCTCTTTATGATGCTTTGCCTGGTTTCCCCACTGACCACCCCCCCTGCTGGCTCCCCCTACCCAACTCAGGAATGCTGGCCTACTACAAGGAACATCAGTAAATTGCTCCTGCCTGGAGCCAGGCCTGGCATCCAAACACCGTCGGTGGTAATGTGGGCACAACCAAGGCTCAGGAGCCATCTTGTCCCTGGGACTATGACTTTGGAATTCCCTAAGGGGGACCAAGGATGAATAGGAAGGGAGAGCATTCTCAACTCAGCACTTCCAAACCCAGTGGCAGAGGGCGGGCAAGGCTGTTCTCAGGGCCCTGCCTGGACCATGGGCCGAGCAAGGCTGCCTTGCTGGGAGAGGGAACCACCAGACCCTCTTCCCTGCCTGCTGCAACCCGGCATTGCAGGTGATCTTTCTTCTACCACAGCAGAGCATAAGTTTCCTCAACTCACTCTCGAAGGAAACGGAAAACAATCCTGTTGGTTTTCTTCCTTGAAATACAGGGACTAAAGTATACCCGGAGTGAAGCCCACACCCTGCAAAGCCTCCTCTTAGCTCCCCTGAACAGAAGAAAAACAGAAGGAACAGAATCTCTCTCTCTCTCTCTCTCTCAGGCTGAGACATGGGAAACAGCTGTTCTTTCTACCCAGCCTGGGCTTCCTATCTGGCCCTGAGGCAACCACATACAGCAGAGTCTTGGGACCTGCTGGCTTCTGCCTCTGGCTCTGAGTGGGGGGAGTGGGGGGTGCCGGGGGTTGTGTGTGTGTGTGTGTGTGTGTGTGTGTGTGTGTGAGAGAGAGAGAGAGAGAGAGAGAGGGAGATGAATGTCAGTTCCCTATCAGGATCATCACTCTGGTGATAGTGTCTGGATTTTGCTACAGGTCCCAAATGTAGTCTCAAGAACATCTAAAAGGAAAGAAGATTTTTATCTTCCAGCAGGAAATTTTCAGCTACCGTATAAGGACATAAGGCTGTCCTTGTATGGATAGAAGAACCCTGTCCAGGATTTGAGGGGTACTCGATGGCATCATTCTCTCCCCTTGGTGACCTCTGCACAGAATGAAAGTGGCCACCACAGATGGGAAGCCCTACTTTAGCAAGATCTACACCATGACACTTACCAGCATTACTCCAATATCCTTGCTGGATTTCTAGACAGGCCACCTACCTCCCACATGCAGGCAGTGAGGCTCGGAGAGACAATGTCATTTGATCGGAGTTAACCAGCTAGAAAGAGCCTGCACTTCAACAAGTGCACAGGGCCCTCTACAGAAGCTGGCTCCCACTCCAAGTGGTTAATCGTGCTGATGGTATGTGTATGTGTGTGTGCATGTCCATGAGCATGTCTGTCTGTCACATGCACATGTATTTATGGTATCTTCATCCTCAAGTCTCCAGACCTTGGGTACCTCTCATCACAACCCAAGCTCATCATGGTCTCCATGGCCACAGCCCTGGCTTAGGAGCCCTAACCACAGACAACCTGGCTCTTGACATGAAAGCCTCCATCCATCAAAAGGGACATTCCAAGAAGGCATCTAGCTTTGGCTAGAATCCACAAGAAGGTGGCTTCAGTAAGGATTTGGAGCTCCCACAGACAAGCCAGGACTGCAGTTGGTTGTTTATATAACATTATCCCTTGGCCCCTCTCCAGTGCCACTGTGGAACAGAAAAAGCAAGTGTTATCATGTATACTTTACAGATGGGTAAATCGAGATTTGAGGATGCTGTGTGATTTGTCCAAGGTCACACGCTATTCAGGGGTAGAGGGGACGCTCGAACCCTGACCCTGTGGTTGCCGCTCATTCCCGGGCTCAGAGAGAGAAGATAGCAATTTTGACTTTGCCTCAATTTTCCAATGCAGGAGGTGGCTCTGGAGACCTGGCCTGCCACACCATGACAGGGCATCTCACATGCTGCTCTGCTCTCTCTACCTTCCGCACTGGGACCCAAACCAAAGCCTCCAAAGAGGAAAGGCTAAGCCTGCTCTAGAGGACATAAGCCAAACAGAAGGAGCCCCAGGAGCCTTCCTTAGGAGACTCAGAGTGCTGAGCAGCGCCAGCGTTGTGGGCAAGCTCTGTCTGGTGCCTTGGCTTGGCTGAGGGGGCATGCACCCCCTCAGCTTGGGTAGGCACAAGCGTGGCTGGGTATAGAACGCCTGCATTTCTGTAGAGAATGGACTCATGCACACTCCAAAAGGAGACCTGTCAAGTCTCAGGACCATGGTTTTAGGGGTTTAAACTGGTTTTGTTGTTTGTTTGTTTCGCTTTTAAGCCAGTGTAGCATTCCAGAACATCTGGGCCTTTTTTTTTCTCCCCTAAAATTAATTTAATGTGAATCCCCCAAAAAAGTAATTAGCCTTTGAGGAGTCTCTGCTTTAGGTTTTATGGAAAGAGAGAAGCAGCAGAGTTCAGAGAGAGGATGTCCCACTCTGTGGAGATGGGCCATTCTGTCCCTGGGCCTTTAGAATCTACACAGGCGCAGCAACCAGCCTGAGGAAGAAGAGAGCTTGCGAGGAGAGAAACGCTGTCCGCTGTCTGGACAGAAGCCCTTTAAATGAGATCATTTCATATGCATGTAACCAGCTCTGAGGCCACAGGGCCTGCAGGAGAGTGACCCCCACGCTCTTGCCACAGGTCACTCTGCAAAGGAGTTTGGGGGAGGGGAAGGAGCACACCACTTGGCTCCATGCCGGAGTGCCCTAGGTCCACATGCCAAGAGCAATTAGCCAGGGGCGGAGGGAGATTCCTGCAGAGTGGCAGAGGCAGTGCTGCAGCTGGGCAGAGGGGCCCAGCCAGCCCGGTCCCCAGGGGCTTCTTCAGGAGCTGAAGACTAAAAATAACCCAGGCCTTTGTTGCAAGCTGCTGGACCACAGCAATGGGGCCGATTTCAGGGAAGCCGAGCATGCGCGAGGGTCCTGCTCACGGAGACCTGCCCTTTGGGCAAATGATTTTTCCAGAAATGTGTCAGTTATCACGCTGCTGCTGCGATTCAAAGACAGCCCAACCTACTCCAGCCCCCGAGGCTTGTCTTCCCGACAACACAGAGTTCTCAGAACCAAGGCCTCCCTACCTCTTTCTTCTAGAAACTCTCTTGTTTCAAACAAGAGTCCGTCTCATATGTGGGGAGCTTAGGGTACAAGAGCAGACAAGGGTTCTGAATCATTGCCACCTAGTCACGAGTAATCATTGTGCCCAATGATCTGGCTAAATAATGATCATCTCTCCACCATTCTAAAAGTTCCAGTCACATTTCAGTAGTCACCGGCAAACACATACTACACGGAAGGAAGAAATTGCCCAGAAAAGAAATTCATAGTACAGCATCAATACTGAAGGGTTTTTCTCAAAGCTACAGTCTCTTCTATCCAACACTGGGCCATTGAACGGGCAGCCTTTGCCCACCTCTCCAGAGCTTGAGTCCCACCCGCAGAAATTGAGCCAGGCCTTCACACTCAGTTCAGTTGGGAGGCAGGATCTTCAGCACTTTTCTGTGTTCATAGGTTGTGGCTTGTCTCCCCTCAAGGACACCACAGTGCTGAAGGTCAAGGAAACACCCGGTCCCTTGTAAAGTTTCTCTTGATGAACAGCAAATACTGACTGGCTATAGTGGGCCCCCAGTTTTTCCTCCCATCCCTCAGGCCCTCTCAACTCCTTATCAAGTGGTGGTCCAGTGAATCAGAACCATCCCGGCTGTGGGCCCCACAACTGAGGCTCCAAAACTAGACCTCCTCTTCTTAGCAGAGACCAAGGAAACCAAGAGGTTCCTAAGCTCCGTCTTCAAGATGGCCTCCAATCATAGAAGATTCCAGTGAGGCTTGTAATAGGTGACAACTTTACCACGGCGTTTTTGTTCCTCTGTGAGAGTTTGGGATGAAGAGCCTAAGCTAAGGGTGAGGAGGCTGTGTGAAGAGTTCTTGAAACACAATAGATTGAAAATAATAATAATAAAACCACCAAACAACACCCGAGTAATTGATGAGCAGTCACACAAATGGCTTCCTCTAAAATGGGAAGCGATGAGAGGGATGATTGTGAGGGTGAATGTGAAAAAGGTTCCACAGGGCTGGGGCTGGATTGTTCTTCAAAAGTGCAAGTACCCTCTGGTAGAAATGAGGACGTGCTTGCTGAAGTACCACACATGGGGCAGGAGGCCACAGGTGCCCTCTTGGTTCCGCCTGTCCACGCCCTTCTGTAACTATTCATTTTCCTCGAAGTTGGTCTGTGTGGATATTCAGGAGGAGAGCTCCATCTGGATTGAGCAGGGCTCCAGTTCAGCCTCTCCAGTGGCATGTCACATTGTGTGACCCGGGGGCCTAGGCCTGGCAGCCAAAGGCTGATGCTTTCTCTTTGAGCAGCTCCCAGCATAAATGACAGCTCCAGCTTCCTAGAAGAGACAATATAGCATTAGTAGCCGCATGTCTCCTAACTTGAGGGCACCAGCCTAATCACTTTAACATATGGTAACTCTTATTTCCCACTGACTTTCATAATTCAGAGACCAAGCCTCAGTCCTGAAGGCATGCGTTGCTCAGTGGGAGGTGCACGCTCAGAGATGGCGGATATAAAGAGCCTCACCCCTTAGCCAGCCTTAGCAGACCTGTACTAGTTCCCTTAGAAGCTCACACCTCCCCGCTGCCGCAGCCGCACATCTCCCTGAGTGGTCAGTTGAAATTTCATCTGGTTGCACTGTGCCTCAGTTTCCTCACGTGTCCTTTGTTAGTAGAAGGACCTACCTCATTGGAGCGTGATGGTTAAATGAGACAAAACATAAAAAGCACCTTAGCACGAGGCCTGCACCGCAACAAGGGATTGGTAAAAGGTAGGTGTGGCAGCTGTTGTTGTTGTTGTTACTGGGTTCATCGTCATTACCTTCTGGGGGCTCGGCCACTGGAGGATTTAAACAGTACATGTGATAGCCTCGGTCACAATCATCGCAGAAAAGTAGCTGGTCCTGGAAGGCACAGAAGGGGGAGAGGGGAGAGGAGAGAGAGGCAATTACTTGAGGACAGTGCCTTCCCCTACTTATCCCTCTACTCTTATTTTCATAGCCCCATTTTGGGCCCTATTTTGAGTCCTCACTGTCCCTTAAATGTGGCTTGTACTTTATTAACACCTGGAATTCACCCTCTGCTGCCTTGACTATACAAATCCTTCACCACCTTAGGGCCTGTCTGAGTCAGGGCTTCTAATGCTGTGATGAAACACCATGACCAAAAAGCAAGCTGGGGAGGGAAAGGTTGATTCACCTTACACTTCCAGATCATGGTCCACCATTGGAGGAAGTCAGGACGGGAACTCAAGCAGGGCAGGAACCTGGAGGCAGGAGCTGATGCTGAGGCCATGGAGGGGTTCTGCTCACTGGCTTGCTTCATGTGCCTTGCTCACATGGCTTGCTCAGCTTGCTTGCTTTCCTACAGAACTCAGGACCACTAGCCTAGGGATGGCACCACCACAACCAGCCAGGGCTTCCCCTTTGATTATTAATAGAGCAAATGCCTTACAGCTGGATTTCATGGGGGCATTTTCTCGGCTGTTACTCCTATCTTTCTGATGACTCCAGCTTGGTCAAGCTGATACACAAAGCCCGCCAGTACAGGGCCCTTCTCAACTCATTATCCTAGAAGTCTTCCCCGATGGCTACCTTCCACTCAAACTCACAGAGCTTCCCTGCCCTGAACTCTCACAGCCAGCAATGTTATAGATTTCTCCGCACCCCACCCCCACCATGGCAATGACCTAATACATGGGTTGAATTTCTATTCTTCCATCGGTGCGATGGTTAACCGCTGTACTTGGTGGGGTCGTCCATGACATGTCAGAACTTCTTCTGGATTTAAATGTAGGTTTTAAGACAAGCATCCTCCCTCTCTGGCTGGGGGCTGGATGCCAGGGGGAAGCAAGAGATTGGTTGGTTTCAGCAGTAGAGGACAGTCGCACAGGTAAAGGATGATGACAGCAAGAAGTAAGGCTGTGGCAGTGCAGTGAGGAAACCGTCACCAGCTAGTGTGGTTGCCTGGGCTGTGGCACAGTTAGCCACTGGGACATGGGCAGGAAAGTGGCCATGGGTGTTGGAGAGAGAGAGGAGAGCCTCAGTTATAGAACCAAGGTCACCAGGGAGAGTTGACTTGGAGGCTGGAGAACAGGGCAGAGGACTGGGCCTAAACTATGGATTTGGAAGTCACTGGTGATGAGTTGGCAAATGGAGGTCCTAGGAGAGGACATCCAGAGGGTGTGACAGCAGACGTCTCTGAAATGGTGTTCATGGAGGGCTGTCTGTGAAATGATATACACGGTTTTGTGTACATGGGCTGTAGGAAAGCCAAGACCACACTTTCATAACATCAGCACTAAGGGACAGCAGAGACCAAAAGAAGCCCAGTTGGGGAAGAGGGTGAAAACCAGCATAGCAGCTTGACTCCCGGAAGGTACACCATGGCATCAAAGCCGAAGGATGCTACGGAACTATATCATTTGGTTGTGGTACAAAGAGAAGTGACGCTAGTGATGTCCTAAAGACATTAGTAGTTCCTACCATAGCATTAGCACTAGGCTACAAAAAGGAATAGTTCCCTAGACTGGACTTCCTCACCCCAAAAAGAATTCAAGACTATGAGGGTGCAAACACATTTGTCCTATGTGGTTGTCCCTTCTTTCCCATCTACTTTTCAGGGCAATGTCCCCTCACGCTAACACCCATGAAAATTCCAATTCTAAAGGAGCACCAACTCCCAAATCCAAAAAGCTGGGTCCACTGGTGGCTACAGTGCCAGTGGAATGTAATATCATTGTAATATCATTCTGGGATCTGCAAGAGACCTTGTAAGAAAATCCCCAATGTCCCGGCAACAACGCTACTCATCCATGGATACCGCTAAGGCTCTGTATTAACACTCTCAGCAAGACCAAGTCTAGAATCAATCCAAACACTAGCCAATAAGAGACCAGCTGAATGAAACCAACAAAGAACCAGGAAACCATAAGAATGAAGACTATGGCTGTAGATTGCTGTGGAATGACTTCTGGAGTATTCAGTTAAAAAAAAAATCAGAGTAGAGAAAACATACCCATCTTTTACCATTTCGTTATGGATTCAACTTCAACACACATGCTTACATCTAAACATAATGTAAAGACAAACTTTTTGTGTGTGTTCGTAAAGACAAACTTTCATTTTTTTAAGTGGCCATATGTAAGCAAAGAAAAAAGTTAATTTTGGAATCAGAAAATGGTAGCTAGATTTTCTTGGACACATCATTCTTTCTTGATTTCTTTGTAGGACTATGTTGTATAGTCATAAAACAAAAATTAAATCTCAATATATCTTTCAAAGTAAATTCTCCATAGGTGAATATACTTGTATATCCAGTTAGTGACACAACCACAAACAGAAACTATTTGGGGTGAGTACTTATCTTTTTTATTTTGACTTTCATTTGATTCAGGGTGTGGCTGTGTATCTCAGTCTGGCTTCGGACTCATGGTCCTTCTGCCTCTACCTCCAGAGTACTCAACTAAGACACAATCTTAACAACAAGACTAAACGTGGATGTGTGTGTGTATATTGTTCAGCAATGATATCATTGATGATAATAGTGGAACTGGTTATCTGAGACAGCTAATTGCATGTGTATGAACTGTGTGGTCGTGATGGTATTCGTTGAGAAGCAAAATGTCTTACATGACTGAAGGAAGGCATAGACATGAGATCAGTGAATTAATAAAAAACCCACATACTCAGTTCTGGATGCAATCTAGAAGTATTTGAATAAATAAATGGCACATTTTATCTTCTAAATAAACAAAAATATGTTGTAGCCCTGCCATTGAAAATGTTCTGAAACGATGACAAACAATGGAAAAATTAGCTACTCTAGCCCAGCAGTCTTTGGGGGATGGGGTGGCTGGTTTTATACTAGGCACAGGAAGTGTATAGAAATCTTCCTTTGTACAAAAGCAAGGAAGCTATCAAAAGCTCTCGGGATCATGTCGAAAAGCCATAGGTTCCAACCTGAATGTTCCCACAGGCCAAAGAGAATTTTAACTGCAATGAATGGAAACAAAATATATTTAAGTTCTTCAGTTCATAAAGATCGTGTTTTTAAAACATAGTCCCTTTGGAAGATGTTAGGGAAACTGGATGCTTTTATTTGTTTTGACACTATTTTAGACTTAGAGAAAAGTTGCAGAAATGATAGTTTCTCTATTCAGCTTTCCAAAATAATAACATCTTACACTGCATGCTAGAATGAAAGAGCAGGAGATTGCTGTTGGTAAAAGGTTATTAACTGGCGAATAGAAAAGGCTTTAATTTGTTGAGGTTTTTGTTTGTTTGTTTTTCACTTTTACTTATTTATTGGCAGGGTAGAGTATATACTGTAGTGCCCATGTGGAATTCAGATGACAACTTGACAGAAGTCAGTTTCCTCTTTCTGCCACGTGGGTCCCAGAGATCAAACTCCAGTCCCAAGGCTTAGGGGCAAGTGCTCCATTGAGCTAACTCACAGGCCTTCTTTGTATTTTGAGGAACAGGGTCTCATGTATCCCAGGTTTGTCCCAAAGTCACTATGAGTCACCTTGTACTCTTGATCCTCCTCTTCCACCTCCAAGTGCTAAGATTACAGGTGCGCCCTACCACAACCGGTTTTCACAGTGCTGGAGACAGAACTTCAGGCTCCATGTGTGCTGGGTAAAAGACTCTACCAGGCAGTGCTATGTCCCTAGGTTTACTTGTGTTTCTTTGTGTCCCTCAATCTGTGACATTTCCACAGTTTATCTTTCATTACCTTGACCCGTTTTAATTGGTAGATTGTATTTGTTGATGATTTCATACATGTTTATAATGTATCCTGGTTAGGCTCCCCCCAGTCTCTCTTATTTTTCTCCCAACCCTGTAGACTCCCATTCTACCTTACAAATCTCTTTCTCCCGTATTCATAACTTTTCATGTAGTTTTGTGTCCCACAGAATTTAACTGTGGCATCTGTTGTGGATATAAACATGCTCTTGTTTTGGTCCCAGGTGTGGAGTATGGGACTGATTCAGATATCCACACGGCAGACTATTTGCTTTGTGCGGGCTCGGAGAGGAGCTCCTTGCCAGCTGCAGATACTTTAAATCTGGGGACTCTGGAGAGAGAACAAATGCCAGAGCCCAGAGAGTGTGGAGAAGAGAAAGAACAAGGCTGCTCCTGCTTCCCCCTTGCTTCTCCTGCTGCTGTTGTGAGACAAGAAGTTGGAGATCTCCTGAAACGAGGACTGGACTGTCTCCAAGGAGCCCAATGACCCTAACCAGCAGGAAGCAGCTAAGAAAGAAAACTGTGCTCCCTTCTTCCACTAACCCTTCCTATCTCCTACCTGGTGTTGAGGTGTTGGAAGGGATTGAGGTGGAGTAGGGAGAAAAGGATAAAAGAAATATAAATAAAAGTTTTTTTTTTTTTTTTTTTTTTTTTTTTTTTTTTTTTTTTTTTTTTTTGTTAAAGTGCTCCAACAGACATCTGTGTGACCCTAGGTTTGGAATGATCCATTAGTGTCTGACTGGCTCGCAGTCAGTATGCAACTGGATACAATGCTCCCACCCCTCCTCCCCACCACAAGCCAACCCCGTTTCCGGTAGTTGTCAATAGTGCAGTAGTGGGAAGTCCTGTGAGTCCCGTGACTTCTAGGAAGGTCTGACTGTGTAGACCCAGTACACGGCTGTTATGGCCACAGCCATGGCCTGCTTCTCCTCATCCTTGCTGCTCCTTTTCTTCCCCCTCTTCCACAAAGTTCCCTGAGCCTGAACGGGGTGGTGTAAATGTTTCATCTACGGCTAAGTCCTCAACTGTCCATTATTCTCTTGTGCCGCCCTGAGTCTGCATTCACCTCTGTCCGTTCAAACCAGAGGCTTCCCTGATTAAGGCTGAGGGAAGCCTTTGTGTACACACACACACACACACACACACACACACACAAA